ATTCAGGATGCAGCAAGGGATATGGATGCCGGCTGGGGGCGGGTTAGGGATGCAGGACGGGGTGCTTTTCAGCCCTGAATTTTGTGGATTGTGTCAGCAGAGGTGCACAAGCAGGTCTGCTGACAGGGAGATAAAGGGGACAGCTGTCCCAGGGCCTGGTAATAAAAGGAGTCCACGGCTCCTGGCCACCACTGCTGCTACTGTGTCAGCGGCAGCAGCTGGAGCCCCGGGTCCTTTAAATCGCCCCCAGAGTACGTGCTGCGTGCACCCTGCGGTTCTGAGGGCTGAGAGGCCTTCCTGGTATGTGGAAGGGTGGCTGTCCTGGCCCCGCCCCCTCCAAGACCGTGAAGCTGGCCCTAGCCTGTGCACAGGGGTGTCCTCTTCCCGTAGGGATTGTCAGCTATCCGGTGGCCAAAACGACAATTGTCATCAGGTCTCATGGAGAGGTAAAGGAAGATAACAGCTCAGAAAAATCATCAGGGCAAAGGGAAGGAGTGGCAATATTTAGAGTCATGCATGGATACAAAATTGTATCCATACCCCTCTCTGCAAAAATGAGCTGCAGGAATCCCTATCTGGGGATGCCCATGGATATCCAGGAATTTGCAGAGTTCTAATACAATTGTTCCAGTCTGCGGTGGTTTGTGTGTAGCAGGTGGTTCAGTGTCTGAGCAGTGGCCAACATTAGGTATCACCTGTTACTGTGCCAGACTCAATCAGTTGTTGTCCCATAGTACTCATGTGCTCTGCCCTCCTGGGAGGGCAGGGGTGGGGGAGCTAAAGCTCTCTTTCCCTTTCTTTTCCTGTCAGGAAGAGGAAAGCTCACAGCGCCAGTCACCTGCTCCTCTACCCCCTGCTCTCCGCTAGGATTGTTCCACCGCAGACTGGAACAATATTATTAGAGCCCTGTGAATATTCCATTTGGATAGGTCCAGGCGGATGAGGAGGTATCTAAAATGAGCCTTCAACCAGCCGAACACCCCCTCCACCATGAGGCGGGCCCTGCCGAGCTTGGCATTAAAGACCCATCAGGAGGGGTTGAGGTGTCCTGTGTAGGGTTTCATCAGCCAGGGTTGTAAGGGATAGGCCTCATCCCTCACCAGGCACACAGGCACGTCCACGTCCACGTCCCTGACCCTGATGTGGCAGTCGAGGAAGAAAGTCCCGGCTTGCAGCCTCTGGCACATGGAGGAGTTGCTGCAAACCTGCGCGTCGTGTGCTTTGCCGGACCAGCCCACGTTAGTGTCTGTGAAGTGGCCCCAGTGGTCAGACACAGCCTGCAGGATGACCGAGAAATATCCCTTCCTGTTGATGTAGAGGGAGGCCTGGTGGTCCGGGGCACAGATGGGGATGTGTGTCCCATCAAGAGCCCCCCCGGAGGAAGAAAGTCCCGGCTTGCAGCCTCTGGCACATGGAGGAGTTGCTGCAAACCTGCGCGTCGTGTGCTTTGCCGGACCAGCCCACGTTAGTGTCTGTGAAGTGGCCCCAGTGGTCAGACACAGCCTGCAGGATGACCGAGAAATATCCCTTCCTGTTGATGTAGAGGGAGGCCTGGTGGTCCGGGGCACAGATGGGGATGTGTGTCCCATCAAGAGCCCCCCCGGAAGTTGGGGAAGCCCAGGGCGCCAAACTCCTTGATCACTGCATCCACATCGGTGAGATGGATGACGGAGGGACACACAAAACCACCGAGAGTCACTGGGGTGCCAGGGTGGCTGAGTGTGCTCCTTCCCCACCACTGCTCCATGTCCTCAATCCCCTCTGTAATCCTGGCCACCATGGACAGCCCATAGTGCGAGTGGGACAAACCAAACCCTCCTGGGGAGGGGACTTGCACCCTCTCCCCCCCTTTTCCCTAGGGCAGCCCATCACCTCCTTCCTCTCCTCCCCCCCCCCCCCCCCCACCCCCCCCCCCGCGGCGTG